CCCTGGCAGTTCATGGCAAGTCCCTGAGACCACAAACACAGCTCACCAGGCAAAGCTGTCTGACCAGCAGGAGGGGTTTCATTTCACCCACCCACCACTGGTGTTCCTCCAGTTTCAACTCTGCCCTGTTGTGACATTTCATCTGTAGTTTTCTTAAAATTTTACTAATACTCAGATTGAAAGTCATTCAGTCATCTTTCTCCATTTCTCATATTTCCTCTAGCATGCCTCCCAAATTTGATGGGGCTTGAAGGAAGCCAGCTCTGCTGCCTGCCTAAAGAGCGTCTGGGTGTTCTTCCTTCAGTGATCTCATTCCCTCTTGCATACATTCCCATTCCATCATTGTATTAGTTGAAGAAACCCCAGTGTGTTCCAGATGTTGAGTGATCAAATGGTAGCAGAGATCTTGGATAAAGTATTCGGTGCTGAGGGGGTTGAGAAAGGAGAAACTCAAAACTTTCTATCTTCAGAGAGAAACTGCCAGTCCCTGCCGTGCTGTTCACAGCTTCCCAATTTGAATCCAGAGTTGTGAAAATGTGGAAACTGTGAAAATATGAGCTGCGAACACTGGGAAGCTGTGAAGCAGGGAAATGGGTGGGGATTTGCAATCTCTTTTGAATGCAAAGGTTATAGATTCTGGTTGAAAATTTAATTCTCTGAGAAGTAAGTTTTTGTCACTACAACAGCAAGAGAAAGCATAGCCAAGGTGGCAGAATTGTTTTGGTTGTAAAAACCTGTCATTTCTTTACTCATAACTTTCTGGCACTTTTTCATTTGAGGCAGAGTTCTTCAGACCTGGCCTCTGCCAAAAGGCAAATTTCCTTTGAGCAAAGCCAGTTGTCTTGTTTCTGAGCCTGGAAGTGAGAAGCAATAATAATAGTAATAAAACAGACTTCCATTTCATTTTATTTTTCTTTTGAATACTTTGCAGCAAAAAGGTGTGAAAGGTGATGTTTCATGTAGGAGCAGCCTCGGTTGAGGAGCCATGCCTTGCGTTGGCCCAGGGAAAATTGAGTTTGATGTGTCTGAAGGACTGGTGTTGTTGAAAGCCAGCTGCTGGGCTTGGCAGTGCTGAGGAAGGACTCACCTGACAATGGCTCCTGAAGAAAACTTTTTGAAGGAGGGGAAGGCCAGTCATGGATTTAGTGGGTGACTCACAGAAAGGTGTCTCTGGCTAGTACTGTCAAATTCCTGCAGCCAAGAACAGCCAGGAGTTTTTCAGCACAGGCCCATGGGATGTGTAGCTACTTTCTGGATTGTTCCACTCAGAGTGGAAGCAAATGCATCCTTTCAGAGGGAAGGGGACCTCTCAGAGCCACCTCAGCCGTGTTTCTTCCTGCAGGGATGGGAGGGCAGTGGTGTCTCCTGGAGCCAGAAGGGCTTTACAGCTGCAGCACCGGCTCCTTGAGAGCCCTTTCCCTCCATCCCTGCCACTGATGGGGTGACAAAGCCCTGTGTGACAGTGCCCGAGTGCAGGTCGTGGCTAGAGCCTGCTGCCGGCACAGATGTAATAAATGGAATTGATTGGTGCTAACTAAATTGTAACTGTTATTAGAGTTGTTATTAGAAACAATCAAGAAAAATACTCTTACAAGACAGATGTACCCCTTTGCAGATGTTACACGTCAAAATTGAGGTACAGGATGGAGTTTAGAAGATAAATGGTGTCTCAAGACCAAAACAGCCTTGAGATGGACCAAAATTAGAACGAATTTAGGCATTGGGCCTAAAAATCAGTAAATATCAGACTTATTATTAAAATTAATGGACTTCCATAACACAGGGCTTAGTACACATGTGCAAACCCATAAGGTTATCCAAAGGACAATGAGGAAGAGGAGAAGCCTTCACCAAAAGACCCCAAAAATAAGACTGAAGACCCCCTAACAACAAGTGAGGCATGTGCCATGAAGAAAAGTGACATAAAGTCAGAAAAATCAGAAATAGGAGGAAACTTACAGCAAACATTAATGAATATGTATAAGCACACAGTATATAAGTTCAGCTTGAAGTGCTTTGTTTTGTACATGAGGTGGGGTGATAAACCCTCCCCATACCCTGACTGGTTTTGCTTATGCCTTAACCATCCTTAATTACTGGCCAACTATATCCATATATATGTAGATATATATATCTGAATATATTTACTGAATTGTATTTTTTTTAATTGTATTTTTTATCAAATTGTTATTTAATAAATTGTGGGTTTTTTACTACATTGTATTCTTTTTTATATTACATTACTAAATCGTACTCCTTTTTTGAGTTTATTAAAGCATATTATCAATTAATTAGATTTGGTTGTTTGAAATAATTCCTCAATTAATTCAAATTAATTCCTCTACATGAAATCGAGGTAGAATGGCAGGAGCCTGAACTGTGCTTCAGCAAGTTGTGTTATCCCAAGGCCCTGCATATCCTTAATTTATGACACTGGTCTAAACTCATCAGCAGGTTGGACATTAGCAGGCAGGGAGTATTAAGGAGAATAAGTGGTACTGGGAGATCTCAGCTGACACTGTACTGAGGAACAGGGAAGTTGGCATCCCTCTTGACAAACCTCACTTTATCTTACATTCTGATGCTGCAAAATGGGCATTTAAATTCTCTGCCAGGTCAGCCATTCATCACAAACACGTGTAGACTTAATTGCTAATTAATTTTCTCTGGCTAGTGTAGATTTTTTTCCCTCGGTGTGTGAAATCTAGAAGAACTTTGTGAGAACCAGCCACAAATGAATTGGCTGTAATCGCTGTTCCCTCACTTGGGTAGAGAAGTAACAGTTCATCAGCCCTTAATTAGCTGTGACTTTTTTGAGAGCAGTCTCCAATTTTTTGACAGTGAGATGTACATCTTGTTTCTCTTGTAGCAAAACAAAGAGAGTAATTTAGCCTTGAACTGACAAATTGGGCTGTGTTTGTTGGTGTTTTCTTCCTCCTGATGGTGAGTGCAAAGCTGCATGTCGTACCTCGATTGCTGAGCAAATTGTTCAGTTCGTGTCTCTTGTCACACAGAAGAGAACACTGATTATACAACGAAAAGAGCCTGAGCTCAGTTTAATTAACTTGTGAACGGGAAACCAGCGGTGTTTGGAGTGATACATTAAGGGTAGGGAAGAGCTTTAGAGACCTCATCAGCATCAGAGAAACTTTGTATTTTGTTTCTGTTGCAGGTGAGGGCAGCATCTCCTTTAATTAATCTTTTGGGAATAGTTTTTGTCTTTTTACCCTGTCGAGAACCCCCCACTGCAAGGTCATAGGTGACTTTGATGCCCCAACACCTGGTGTCTGAAGAGAGAAATCCAGTTTTAGTGGGAAAGGTGCATGATCAGTCATTTGAGAGATGGAGGGATCCCAGTAATAATGCTTGGAGATACAAACTTCCAACCCAGTCATGTTGAATAAATTTCTTCCCAAAGTACCATTGAAAACCAGTTTTTATTCAACATTCCATGTTTTTACTTTCTGCATAAGTAATTCAAACAGACCTCTGGTAAGACCTAGTTTGCTCACAATCTTTTAAAAACCAAAATCTCTTAGACTAAATTTAACCTGTTAAGCAGCACATGATAGTTGCTAGAGAAGGCCAGGCTATTAATGCTTGGTGTTGCTTTGTTAAAATAGCAGAGGAATTTTCAGTATTAGTAACCTGTGGTGCAGATGCAGAGGGTTCTTTTCACTTGTAAGAGTGTAAAACTTTTTAAGTTCTAGCTTCATTCAAGTCTGAGAAACCAGTGAGAGATTATTAACACAGGAAAGCTTGTATGGCCCTTCTCAGTCAGCAAATATAAGCAAGACCTGTGGATCTGAGCTTTACTTGTTCTACAATTTTAGAGGTCTTTAATTGTAGTCAGTGCCGTTCCCTCAAAAAATACTTTGTTTAATAAAGCTTTGTACATGCAGTATGCATTTTTCAGGAGCTTCTCTTTCTTTTCTTATATGTCTAGCACCGTGAAGTTGACTTGTGTACCTAAATACATGCTGTTTGATTTTAACTGAGTAACAGTTTCTTTCCACCTAGAGCTTATCATGCATCACCAAAAAAAAATAAAAAATAGTAATTTAAAGACTAGTTTAATCAGGTTTGCTTCAAAAAGACCCTAAAAGTACAAATGTAATTGAAATTAAAATTAGTATTTAAATTCTTTTTCCTCTCACTGACTTCAGTGATGATTAAAGTTGCTTATGTAAATCTATTAATTGGATCAATTATTAATATTATTAATAATTAATATTAATAATCCTGCTATGAGTTCCCTAGTTGCAGTCTCAGCCTGAAGGTAGCTGGCAGTTGAGAAGGTGGAAATGCCTAAAGATATTGGTAGGGGAGGAGTCAGATCTGTCATTCTTACTGTGCTTTGTGTAGCGAGGGGATCACATTTCAGTCACATCTGAGACCACTGAACTAGGGGTATAAACCACCCCATTGTTTATGCTGAAACTAAAGCAGGATGCACACCCAAGTAAGCCAAGGGGATGAGAACCCCAGATCATGTTGGCCTCGGTTAAAAAACACTTGGGTGCCTTGGAATCCCCAGGGAGATGTGCCTGTTCCTGGCACTGCCCCTGGATTCTGGCTGTGCCCAGAGCCAGCCTGGCTGCCATGCCAGGGATGTCCCTGGGAAGAGTTGGCACCCTTCTGGCATCCCTGCTTCATCTCACAGGGCTTTGGAAATAACGTGTGGCAGCGTAGGTTTTGTGTGAGCAGTGCCAGTTGTGGAGAAAACTTAAGAGTGACTCTGATACCTTGTGAATTCAGAAAAGAGACCCAGCTTTGCTTCCAGCTGAGGCTGCCAGAAGGGCTGGACAGACCCAGACCAGGGGAAAGTGTCTTCCTTCTGTCTTCATGGCTGAGGCTCAGATCTGAGAGTGTGAGTAATGTTGGTTGGAGGAAAAGCTCTGTTAGGGCCCTTCTCTTTTCTCTTTGTGCTGCCAAATGATGCAGCCTGTTGGATTCCAGCTTGTCCGACTGATACATCACCTCTCCTTCTCATCTTTCAGGTTATTTCCAGGATTTGTTGAACAAGTCAGAAAAGGCCCTTTATGACGCCTTTCCAAGCATGTACGGAGAATTGTACACTCAAAATGTGAAGGTGTTCAAGGACTTGTACAGCGAGCTGCGCCGCTACTACCGCAGCTCCAACATCAACTTGGAAGAGGCCCTCAATGAGTTCTGGACACGACTGCTGGAGAGGCTCTTCAAGCTGCTGAACCCCCAGTACCACATCACAGACGAGTACCTGGACTGCATGGTCAAACACGCCGAGCAGCACAAACCCTTCGGGGAGGTGCCCAGGGACCTGAAGGTGAAGGCAACCCGAGCCTTCATCGCGGCGCGCTCCTACGCGCAGGGATTCCTGGTGGGCAGCGACGTGGCCAGAAAGGTGTCTCAGGTATGCTGGGTTCTCCCTTCTCCTCCATCCTCACGTTGGCTGCAGACACTCAACCGCTGCTGTTGGGAGGGAGGCTTATTTCCCCTTGTTTTCATTGCAAAGGAAGCAGTTGCTTTCCAGTTTTTAAAAATAAACTACCCGAGGGTTGCCCATCAGTGGGAGGGAGCAGCAAACCTGGATCTCTACAGGCACTGACAGCAGCACTGAGGCAGGGAGATGTAACTCGCCACAAATCAGCTTTTGCCTCATCGTAACCTGTGCAGCAGAGTGCCAGGGAGATGTCACCCAGCCAGGCCATGAAGCCATTCTGCTGCTTGCCCAGATTGCTTGTGCTTCCCTGACGTGCGTCTAAATCACTGCTTTCCTCCGTGATGGAGACGTGCTGCAGGGCGTGCAGAGCTGGATGGCCACGAGTGTGCTGGGAATACAGGCAGAGGGATGTGTTTCAGAGGCTGGCAGTGGGATCCTGTGTCTGTTTATGTAGCCTGTCTATTTGTACAGCTTCTGTGTACAGAGAGGGGGAGTTTGTAAAGTGCATTGGGATCTTCAGGGATGAAAGGTGCTATATAAATGTAAATTAACATGACTGAATCCAGGGTTCCAGAAGGAAGGAAATTGTCTCTATTCTTTACTGCAGAAGGAGCCTTTCAGAGCCAGAAGAAAGTGATTGTCCTGAAACAAGATAGTCAGGCTTTTCACACAGGTAGCAAGGATAAAAATCCATAATAAAAAAATGGCTTGCATACCTCATGTGGAGATGGGAATCAGCAGGTGTGAGAATCAGGGTGTGATTAAACTGTGAATGTAAGAATCCAGAACCACAATTCATTTCCTCAGAAGATAACGTGTGGTGATGCGGAGCAGAGGACAGTCCCACTTAATGCAGCAAATCCAGACTTTGATCTCAGGAAGAAACATTAATGTGGTAACGGTGACAAATGCTTTAATTTATCAATGTGGGACTATAAAACTGTTCAGCTACCCAAAAGCCTTTGTACATCTCATTAACATCACACTCTTCTGACACCTAAGACAGATAAAAGAGGAGAACGATGTAATTTCGGGGGACAAAAGCAAAACACTTTTCATAAATCCTCTGAATGGCAGAGATTTCCAGCTCAATGGGCATGATCTGCCTGTAGCTGAGATTGGTGGGTAAAACAGGCTGGCAGGGCAACTGCAGGTATGGTATCAGCCAAAGGGAAGGATCTGAGATACCACCACCTGCAGCAGATTTTTCCCCACCTTTATGTAGGCTTCTGACCCACTGGATTTTGATTATGGTTCCCCCTTTCTGAATTTTCCTTCTCCTGAGCATCACTTATCAAACAGGATGCAGGGAATATGACAAATCACAGATCCCCCTTTTCCCTCAGCTTCCCCCAGTCCATTCCTTCAGGATGGGGGGTTTTCTAGGAGGGTCCCAACCATTCCTCTCTCACAGGAGCCCTCCATGGCTTTGCAGCTAACCCAGTGTGTTGCTGTTGCATGAGCCGAGTCAAAAAACCTCAGCACAGCCTTCTTGGGAGCTGATTTTGTTATGAGGATCAAAACTGGCTCATTTTCCCTGTCTTCTTTACCAGCTTTCTAGTTGTGGATTTACTTGTGTCAGATGGCTGTGAAGTGCTTGACTCAACCCACAACTGGTGCCCTGGTACTAGTCATTTCTCATGTTGCTCTATACTTAAAACATTAGAAGAAGGTCAGAAACTGGAATGCAACTTCCCTGTCAGCTGGTAGCAGCAGTTTTTAAAACTATCTTTTTGAGTCAGAATTTCATAGCATTGGCGAGTGTTTTGCTCAGGAAAATTCAGGAAGCCTGTTGAAATGAACACTTAGAAATAAATTAGCTAGCTTTGGACTATAGGAAAATATAGATTTTATTTGCAAATCCCAGAAAAACTACAGATTTCTACTAAATCCCCTCCTGGTTTCAGCTTCTCAGACATTTCCAGGTCAGTGTATCCCCTGTATCCTGTTGCTGTTTCAGGTCCTTGTGCAGAGGCAGCGTTACTGCGCACTGCAGGGAAGGGCTGATGCTGTTTGCCAGAGTTCCTGGCTGTCTTTAAGTGGGGGAGAGCCACCCTGAGTGAGCCACAGGCATGGATTTAATGAGATTTCTTTAATCCCCACTGCCTCTCTGCTGTGCCCAAAGTGTGTTTTCTCCCCAGCCTTCAGCTGCCCCAATCTCAGAGGAAGCCACAGTTTCAGGCAGCCCTTGGCCAGTGGCTGGCAGGGATAGAACCAGGAGCCACGTGTGGGAACCCCTCTGTGTCCTGCTGGGCATAAATTGTTTGAGGGCAGACGTGGAGAAAATGGCAGAAGCATTTTTCATCTTTACTGCTATCCAAGCTTTCAAGGCAAAGTCACCCTGAGAGATGCAGGCTCTGACACCAAGTCCTGAAACTTCTGATTGGTGATGGCTGCCACCGACCTGGCCTGACACAGACAGCGGTGGCAGCGCTGCCACCTGGGCTGGGAGCCGGGGTGGGGCTGGAGTGGCTCTGGCAGCTGAGGATGGATGTGCAGGCTGGCACCCTGCCCTGACACACCGTGAGGAGTTGAGATGGGCCACGCCTGGGCAGCATCTCTGTGTTCGTGTGCAGGTACTGTGTTTCTGCAGCTGTGCTTTCAGCACAAATTGCAGGTTTTCATCTAAGCTGCACAATGTCAAGCGTGTTCTTCATCGCCTGCATGAAGTAGCAGCTACCAAAATGGCAGCAGCCACAAAATCCCTGGTGCAGGACACTTGAAGAAGGAGCTTCCCCACGGATGCCACCTAGTGCTGTGTGCCAGGGTGAGAGAGAACAAATATCCCAGTTCTGTTTAGGATACTGTTTGTTTGCTGTGAGATTGGCAGCTGCCCAAAACCAGCTCTGAGCTCCAGCATCATGTGAACAGGAGAGGGCCTTGTGCTGGTGGAGACCTTCCCTCACTGCTGCCAGAGACCTTCTGCCCTGAGACCTTCCCTCAGTGCTGTCCTGAGATCTTCCCTCACTGCTGCCCAGAGACCTTCCCTCAGTGCTGCCCAGAGACCTTCTGCCCTGAGACCTTCCCTCAGTGCTGCCCTGAGGCCTTCCCTCACTGCTGCCCAGAGACCTTCTGCCCTGAGACCTTCCCTCACTGCTGCCCTGAGACCTTCCCTCACTGCTGCCCAGAGACCTTCCCTCACTGCTGCCCTGAGACCTTCTGCCCTGAGACCTTCCCTCAATGCTGCCCTGAGGCCTTCCCTCACTGCTGCCCAGAGACCTTCTGCCCTGAGACCCTCCCTCAATGCTGTCCTGAGACCCTCCCTCACTGCTGCCCTGAGACTTTCCCTCAGTGCTGTGAGCAGTTGCTGGGTGGGCTCCCTGGGAAGATGTGGTGGAATTGGGACACTGTGGGGCTGGGGGGAGCACAGCTGAGACAGAAGAAAGGGCAAGGGCTGAGAGGTAACACTTTACAAACACAAGCAGAAGCCCTGAAGAGATGCAGTGTGACAGACAGCAGTGGCTGTGACCCTTCACGTGCTGCTCAGGCCCCTCGGGTCAGGTCTGGTCCCTGGGGTGGCAGAGCCGTGGGGACAGGGCAGAGCTGCTCCTGTGTGCCCCAGCACACCGGGAAGGGCAGGGGATCCCAGGCTGGATTCCTGCACCCACAGACAGCGAGCAGAGCTCCCTGTGTGTGCCAAGGAGTGTCCAGAGCACTCCAGGGGCCCTGCAGCCCTGGCAGCCTGTCCCTGGCAGCACGGAGAGCAGAGACGTAATGTTCCGTTTCCAAAAGCAGCGAGAGGAAGTAATTTGAAATGAATTTTGCTCATCAGTCAGAAAATGAGTTATTATGACAATCTTTTCTTTGATGGGTCTTCATTGGTTCTTGTTTCTAAATTTTAAGTTTTCCCAAGGTAGTTGAGATTGATGTGAAGCGGCACCAGCTACGTAAGCAAGAAACACTTACTCAAATAATCGATTTTAATAGTTGTTTGCATTTCCTTTTCTCAGTAGATGTTCTTAAGGCTGATTCTCATTTGAGTTTGAAACAAAATATAATGATTTTCTTTATAAGCTTTTTCACTAAATCCTGTATTTCATTTTACCAATGAAAGTTGAAGTCAGCTATCAGTACATTTTTATTTAGCCAATACTGTGTTTCACAATATATTTCAGCCTTATTTTTTAAAACTTTTCTGTTAGTATAAGGTACATGGTAGCTTTCCTATTTACCATATGAGTAATTTTTAAACACATGGTGGGTCAGTCTGGGAACTGAATTCCAATTAAAAAGTTCTAAAAATAAAATTTTTAGAAATGTTTTTAATGGTTAAGTGAATGTGTTGAAGACATATGGAAAATAATGTTTATCTAAACATGCTTTACATTTCCAACAAGTCAATAACATAACAAAGACAGTATGGTCCTCATGTCCTTTAGGATTGCAGCCATTTTTCATACCCACTTTTTTACACAGCTTGAAAGGACATATTTGACTTCTGTCTTTCAGCTTCCAGTTGCTTTTCTAGTGAAGTAGGCATAAAATTGATCTTCCTGAATTAAATGAAGATAAAATCTTCTCCCACTTATGCTAAAGCATCTCAAAAGTGAACTCAGGTCCCATGTGCTTAGTGGGACATCTTCATCCTTTCAGTGGCTGATCTTTTTGGAGAGCGTCAACAGAAAGTACACATAACCATAAATAACATGTTCTTTCATTTGAAGGATTTCACTTCTGTAAAAGTACTAAGCAGTTATCTAAATTGGCCTCCTCTTGATCCTGAAAAGACAGTGTCAGTGTTTGTAAACAGATGTTAGGAGAACATTGTTCCATGGCAGTGCTGAATGGCAATACCCTCATATCCCCATATTTGTTTCCTTGTCACTGGATGTTATCCCAGCTCAGCATTTGCAGCTGTGCAGGTTCTATATGGCAGAGATGTGTGGGTTTGTGTCCTGCAGTTTCCAGCAGGAAGCAGCAGGTCCCAGGGGTGGAGGTGGGAGGATGCAGGGACACAGCTCACCACAGCC